CACTGGAGAGAGGATGGATTTCTAGATATGTATACAGAGATGGTCACATTACATTTTCTCACAAGGCTTAAAGGTGTAGGGGAAAATGGTCATGGAAACCTTCACTGCTCAATCTTTGGATTAACATTCCTACAGTATAGCCAATATAGGTACATAAGCAGTTTGGAAACCTGTAATTTCCTATCAGTGATTTTGATACCAGTGTCGTAGAAATTATTTTAATTTCATTCCAAGAGACTGTTCTAGGAAGGGTTAATAGAAAGGGCAGCAAATTGACCCATTGCAGCTCCTACTGTTCGTGTTGCCTCAGTGTTTGTAGGTCCCTGGGGCTATATTTATATGACTGAATCTCAGAAAGTTACTTCTACTTGTTTCTTCTTTACATGAGTCCAAATTTCTTTACTAATGGGCCCAATGAAACATCAAATCCTTCCCAGATCCTTCAAGCCTTACCTTGGCAGATTTGTATTACATGATGTCAACAGCTTCGTGACACCACTGAGACAGAAATTTGCAATCTGTTAATACTATCCTGGAGGTTTCTTCACTTTTTGACTTCACAGCTGTACTCATGGGAACAGGCTAAACATAACTATGAGGACATTTAGAATAGGTAGAATTGTATTTTCCAAATCTGTCTACCTAAAATAAACCACCACAAAAAGTGAAGCATTCCAAAATTGCAGCCTTATTGAATAAACAAAACAATTTAGCAGTCAGGCTGATGAGGTAAACTGAAGTCAACAGAAATGCACTATTGGATCTTTCTAAAGTTATTACTGAATTCTCCAGCTTTCTTCACTATTTTCAATATGATAAACATATTCTTAAACACACGTATTTGAGTAAAAAAATGATGAAAGGCAATGTTCTTCTTTCTTTTAATCCACCAGATGTTATTTCCATGAAAAGAAACACCAAGAACCAAGAGAAGTGCCTTGGAAACCAACAGGGAAATAGAACTTACTACCTTTATAATATACTCCATTGTGAAGAAGAGATTTATTTTTGCAGATTGACAGACTACTTCCCATAATTCTTTTAACATGTGTTTTGTATGTCGTCAACAGTTTGCAGATTGACATTCTTTACAGTAGCATAACTGCCAGTAGTAGTTACTGCTCCATACTTAAAAATCCACTTTACAACTGATGTGTAATGCTGCCAAAAATTACGTAAACACAAATATTTCACCAAGGAAACTGATGTTCTATTGCTTAATTCTACAATTTTAAGGAATGTTTGTTTGTATATCTAGAACTACTAAAGATCTGCTCCACAGTAGTTGTGGTCACTTGATATCCTTCCTGCTTATGCAATTTTTTAAAAGTTTGGTTAAAACAGACTTGCATTGGGGTCACATTGTACCCTAGGAGTACAAATTGCATGACAACAGGAACATAATTCCAAATAGACGTATTTTTGGGGACAGTGGAGCATGGATTTTGTACACAAACACAAGCTGCCATTAATTTACTTTATATAATAAATGTATAAAACATTCCAGCGAACGTGCAATATGTAAATACTGTAAATAACAAGCTTAAGTAATAAAGTGTTTGGTATTAAGTTGTTCTGAGTTTGCTTTCTGTTCACTGAGTCCATATAAAGAAGCTGTCTTCCAGTAGCTACTCTCATTTATCCACACTTTAACCAGTTACCAGCAAGAGTTCACTGGAGTAAGAAAGAAAGGTACACCCACCTCAGAGAAGTCCAGTCATTTGGACACTGTAGATTTGTGACGTCAGACAGATCTGTGTGTTCCGATCCTGCAAAATGCCCAGACCAGAAGGCAGCTCCAGCTCTCCAGAACATTACAAATTTGAATCTTCTTTTATGATAAATGGTTGTTTTGGCTATTTTGTTTAAAAAAAATCTGCAGTCTGTTCATGATACTGCAAGGCAATATAATCAGTAAATATCCACTAAATCATTTTAGTATTTTAAAATTTTTAATGAGTCAGTGAACACTTACTCAAGACTTGATACACATTTCCCTTTCTTCCTTAAATCAGATATTAAATCCAGTTGTCATAATACAATGGCTCAAACAGGAAGAAAATTTTTATGTGCAATCTATAGACGAACCTCATGTACTTTTATGTTAACACTGGCAGTTAGCTTCCATGTTATTCTCAATTCAAAACAGAAAATGTAAAAGCAAAACCAAACACTCCTCCCCACCCTGAGAAATAGCTAGGAGCTGGGATTCTTGAAATTCACACTTAAGAGCCTTCAGCATCTAGGTCTTTAGAAGAAAAACAGAAAAAAAAAAAGGCAGAAGTACAAAATCTCATCCTAGAATACGGCTGTAAGGGTGAAGTACATATTTTGTATTTTCTTTCAGTAATCACTGAATGCTGAAGTTTCATTTCTCAATGAAAGTAATAAATACATATCAGAAAACTGATACATCTACTGCTGAGAAAAAACAGATAATCTACTGCTATAGATTCACTTAGCTGCTCATCTGCAGTCGACACATGGGTGGAACTCTGTCCTCTGTGGTTCCACTGACTGAAATCAATATGGGGAGTTTAAATTAGTATCAAACTTTCTTTTTGTACTAAAACACCTAAAATGTGGTTAAATAAAAACTTTCTGAAAAATTCCTTGGAAAATAGTAATTTATTTAACTTAGTAGATGAATATAAACAAATCACATGGAAGTTTTTTCTAGATTTAGCAGAAGTCGGCATGCTTTGAAAGAAGATACACCTACACTATAGCAGATTTGTTAATATTTATTCTTAGGTATAAGTTTACTACCTAAACTAAAGCCATGGTGGGGGAGAGGGGGAAGGAGGAGTCAGTTCTGTAATTTCTGAGTCAACATTACATTTTTCATGAGTGGTATTTTAAACCTGTAAGAGCTTAGTCATCTGCGTGATACATGATTTGTATTTTACAAATTCTGTTAAAATACCATGGTGCTCTCCTTCCTCTCCTCCAAGAGTAACACGCTAATAAAATCAATCAATCAATTGCTTTTTCCTCCTAGTAGAGCTTGTGAATTATTTAGCCAATAGATTACCTGCTGAAAATAGACCTCAAGTCTGGAACTTTTAAAATTTGAACTGAACTTAACACAAATAGTTTTGACTTAGTACCACGTTACAGGAAGATTCCTAAGCTTAATGAAGGTATACAACCATACCCTTTAATCTCCCTTCTGTTACCCCAGCAGCACAAAGATAAAGATTCAAGACTTTTAAATCTTAACTTTCATGTGTAGGAAACTAGAGGTTCAATTCTTACTCAGTCATAAATAGGAAAACAGAAACCATCATGTTCTCAATCCCTAGTTATCTTATTTTCACTGAAATATTTAAATGGTCATTCTGGCAGAGAATAACATTAGATTATGCTGAAATACTTCCACTTCTGAGATTAGTGCATAAAGCCACATTTAAGTGGATTTGTCCCTATCTGCCTATCATTTTCCTTCATATATTTTATTAAAGTATTAATAAAAAATGGAGAATAATTGTTTCCAGAGTCAGTGCTTGATATGACCTGAAATATTAAATATACATTATTCTTTGTCCCCGAAGTGAAATATCTATTAACTTGCAAATCCCTAGCTTGTTCTTTAAAAGTCAGAACTACTGGTAATGCAATAATGCATAAGGATCCCAATTTCTTTCTTTAAGTGTTCCAGCTACCACTTGCCATTTTGTAAGCAGGTTCTTAAGTTTTGTCTCATTTAAATTTTAGCACAAACCAGAAACCTCACTAACACAAACACAGCTGTTCTACAGCAAGAGTCCCAGGAAACTTAATTCCCGCTGTGCAGGCTGCAGCACACACAGAGCGACACCAGGGTTGCTCCCTCCTCAAGGAGTAAGAGGGTCCTCCATTGAAACGCATCCCTCTCCCAGAAGGTAGTGGGTGACAAATATAGGGGCAAGGCTCCTAGTTTGGAAGGCAGACAGAGGCAAATCCAAGGCTAAATAAATACAAAAGCAAGTTTTACAGATAATGTGGTAATGCTAGTTCATAACAATGCTGGTATTATTCAAAATAGGCAAATTATCATGGCATCAGTTACATTACAGATCTCAGTAGTACTATTTACATTTTTAATGTAGAAATGAAAGGTGATGTTCAGAGAAGCAGGCGTGGATTTTTACAAAGCATTCAATTTTTGTCCAAGAGTGGACTCAATGTCCTACTCAGTGGCCTTCTCTTAACTTTGTATTACTTTACAGACAGACTTGTCTTCAGGTTGAACTATCAGAAAACACTTTCAACAGGATGTCCATTCTTCTGAGTAAATGTGAAAATACTCTCTGACATCCACACAGGAACTGTAATTACAGCAAAATTCTTATTGATTATATTGCATGGACTCGAGTATTTTACTACGAGATACAAAATGTACATTTCATATTTAGGCTGACCTGTTTTGTCCTCAAAGTAAATGCTATGTTACATGTACTTGGATCAGTGTGCTAAGAATTGACCACAGGACCAAAGAAAGGAAGACTAACCAGAAAAGTCCTATTAACATCAATCACTATTTCTGAACTGATTTAATCTTAATTAATATGAAAGTGTACTAGAACAAAAAATATTTCTTCTCTGAATAACGGAGTATTTAATCTGATATGAAAACTCATGTTCACAGGATACTGATAATGCACAACAGAGGTTTTGGTTGCTTAAGCTTTGAAATAGTGCTAAGAGCAATGCCTGCCTGGGGGCAGGCAATTCTTTTAGACAAGCAGGCTCAGTATGAAACAGCTTCCCACTGCAGACTCCCACTGAAAGTTGATTTAAGTTAACTCACTAAGGGTACAATGAGAAGACCTCAGTTTAGATAGTATAGCACATAAAGTAGTAAGACATTATTTCTGCAGTGCTTGTGAGAAAGCACTGGAAGAGTTTACAGATAAATTTATTCTAAATTATATACTTTATTATTACATTTATGTGTGACAAAATGGTTTATAATCTAATCCAGTTAAAACCTTTCTATATTTTTAATTATCTGACAGAAAAGGTAACATATAAAATTAAACTGAAAAAGTATTGAACCTACTGAGGCATTATTTTACAATTTAAATACATCAGTCAAGTAAACCTTATGAATTTCAGGGAAAGCTAATTATTTTATGAAGCATTAATGGGACTTCTCCAAAAATGCTTTGCAGCATCTCACACATTGCTCGTAAACAGTTTCAAAGTCCTTTTCGTTTCCCTAGAAAAGAACAGAGGAAAAAGAACATAAGCACAGCAATACTGGCTCAAACAAAAAAAATTTTGCAAACTAGTTTCCAGTAATGGCAAATAACAGACACTACGGAAGAATAACACTACAAATACTTTGTGATAGTCTTTGCACATTTCTCCCTAATTTGAACTACCTGCAGCTCAGGAATTTCCACAGCCAAACACCGTGACTTTGTACTCAAAAGTCCTGGATAAACTTTCCTTTACATGCTTCTTTCATTTGCTTTTTGAGCCTTTAAAAGCCTTTTCTTTTTTTTCTTTACATTCACAGTAACATGTCATGTTACACGTCACAGTTTAATGAAGCACTGTGTGGAAAAAAACAAAAATACCTTTTTGTTTTGAACCTGCTTCCCACTAATGCCACCTGATACTCCCTACTTCTTGGGTAATGAATAGCAATTCCTTATTCACCTTTTCCCATTATATCGAGATTTTATAGAACCCTACTGCATCTTCATCCACTTCTCTTTCCTGAACTGAAGTATCTTAACCTAACTGGTTGCTCTTGGCTGATATTATTCAACTTTGACCACGTCTGTGTCTTTACCTTTCCTGATTACATCTTCTTTGCAAGGAGGCTGACCAACCAAGGCTTCACCCAATATTGAACATTGGTGCACAGCATTATTTAAATATAAATAATCATTATAAGCATAAAGACATGTTTTCCTTTCCTATTCCAATAGTTTATATTGTTCTGTTAAATAATTTTTAAAATATATGTTTACACTTGGCTTTGTATAACATCAGACTGTATGTCACGTCAACTGTGGGATCTGGAAAGATTATATACTATACATACACAGTTTTTAATCAAGCCACCCAAAGAATTTCTTACACATACATAGTATGGATCTTCAATGATAAGTTGTTTCTGTGGATCGTAAGTTCCAAGTAGCTCAATTCTGGCCTTGCAGTCTTCAACTTGGTTGCTTTTCCTTTTCAGATCTCTGTAGAAGAGAAAATACAATTTTCCCATTAATTTCTCTTCAGAACCTTTTTGGCATCATCATGAGATGCTCATGATCATTTCTAGAGAAAACAGAAAAATATGCATATGGACTACTTTACAGATTTTAAATAAATTCTCTAGCCTTTTATTATTAAAAAAATATCTAACCATTTCCTTCAAGACTTTTGGCATCCCACTTAATGAACAGGAGAGGGCCAGCTGACTCTGGTACTAAGGCAAAAGGATGTCCCAAATCTTTGTTTTCTGATATGACATGCGCTCCACCACCACCAGGAATCAGGGTGTCCTCCTAGTGCTACAAACAGGCGTTCTCAGGGAAAATGGTTGAACTGGGTGTAAGTTTAAGGTGGAACTTGATTGTAGGAGTAGAAATAACCCTATTGCAGTTGTGATGATTCTTCTGCTCTACAGCTCAAATATAAATTGTTAATATAGAAGTAAGCTTCCGTTTAAGATTTTAAGTGAAAATAGAAGTAAGCCTAGTCACATCTTTGCTTGACACACTGCAATCAAGCCAAGTGTTACATACTCTTCATTCATACGGGCTATGTAAGAGAGGTCATTAAAACACATTCTAGAAAATTAAACAAAATTATACTTATTTCATTTCAGTAGTGCTGCTTCTAAAAGTTTTTATGTGTTACTAAAAGGTTTTTATTTCTTTTTTGTTTCACTGTTGGTTGTGGTATTTTGGGGTTTTTTTGGTTGGTTGGTTGGTTGGTTTGGTTTTGGGTTTGTTTTGGTTTGTTTTTGTTTTGGTGGTGGTGGTTTTTAAACTAACTTTACAAGTAATAACCCTTAAAAGCACTTTGACACTTGTAGCTTATTAAAGCTCAGCCCCTTAACCCCAATCAATATATATGTAATTAAGTAGAAAGTTTGCTAATGATATCCAAACTTTCACACTAAGCAGCTACTTTACTAAATCTTTCTTGAGCATAAATTGTCTCAAAGATGCACTTAATTAGAACATGGCAAACAGTAACAAACAAGATGTCCCCTAGCTACCAACCTTATTATTTCAGAGCTCACTCTATTTCTATTAAAAAAGAAAACCCCATGCTATATTTCATCGCTTCCAAGTTTCTACAGTGTCTTTTAAATTCCATGCTATTAGAAAAACAGATCACTTCAAACAAGACTGTACATCCTCATTCTTAACTATAAAGGCATCAGTTGCATTTCTGTAGCACAATGTGTAATAAATTTCCATGTCCTTAATCTTTGATTGGTATCACACAAATAAACCACTGAATTCTAGCTCATTAAACATAAGTGAAGAATCCATCTATTAAGACATAGTTCATGCACACATGAACAAAAAAACCTCAAAACAAACAAAAAACAAGACAAGTGATTTATGAGACATCACTACAAGTAATCCATATGACTTTGTTCCATTTCTTCATACATTACCTTAGGTTGCTCTCATCCATACAAAGTATATAATCAAAGGTCTGGAAATCCTCTTTAGTAACCTAGAATTAAAAGTATGTGCTTTAGCCTACAAACTGTTTGATTTATAAAAAGAGGAAAGTGTTTTCTAATTTTGTAGTTCTGATTTAATAAGAGAGACAAAGCTGGGAAGAATAAAACTGTGTACCTTCATCAAATATTAAGATAAGAAATTTTAAATATACTCTGCCAAGGTTATCCACTTCTGCAAGTTTTCCACAAAAAAACCCCAAAGTTAGCTATTTTAGCAATACTTTTTTAACATCTCATGCATCAACTTAGAAACATTATTACAAGTGACATTTCTAATGCTTTCCAATTACTAAAACTAAAGCAGCCGTAGAAACCATGCAATAAAAATGTAGACAAATTACTTCCCTGATAGGAAAACAAGAATGTAGGTAACCTTGAAATCAGTTGCAATACTTCCAGTCTAGAAATTTGTCACTACACAGAAAGTATGAAGTCAAATTTAAAGCTCCATTTGTTTTTAAGAGATTGTAACATAAACCCTCATGCTTCACCTTTGAATTATAGTACAGTATATTAGGCCGTGTAAGTTCACAAAAGTTATGATGCGATGTGAAAAAAATGGGATCTATTGTACATCTTCCTACCATCATACCATCTGTTCCTTTTCTTTCCTGTAGCTTACTGACTCCTAAACATGAATTTAACTAAATTCAGAGATCTGAGTTCAGAGTCAGGTAGGCAAGCATTGCAGATAAACCACTACCTTAAGTACTAATGTTATCTCCAGTGGAATAACGATGACTGTAGATTTTTACCAGTATAATTATCTTAGTTTATATTTAAGCCTTAGCTTAGGTTAAAATCTTCCCACACTGTGCCCCACAGAGCACAGTACGCTCGTGTAAGATAGCTGAACTGAGTGCCCGTAATGAGGATGAATAAATGGAATAAAATTTGTAGTGAGTGCACATTAAGACTGCATTTCATGCAGTCCTATGTGTAGTATCACAACAAAGAAACTTGGCAAGTTTGTTCAGTATGGGTTTTTCTGGCAGGCGTCTCTGGGAAAGATGGGCTAGAGAAGCCAGTAAGCAAGTAAACAGACAAAAAGGCAAAACGCATTATCCCGTAGTCAGAGCTTCAACTTGTAAAAATTATTTAGATATTCAACAAAAAGTTTTAGATGGAAAAAGCCTCTACTTAGTTTTTGTGTAAACAGCAAATAGATACTGATTAAGCTCCCATAATAAGGCACAAGAAAAGACATACAGAAATTACCACCAGGATAAAGCCACAAATGAAACATTCCACATAAGGAGAACTGGAGGCGTGAGAGGTGTGAGGGGAGCATTTGAAAAGAAAGGGTTAACGGTGAAAACTAATGCAGACTTGTTTATTTTAACTGTAAAAATATTTGCTGTATTCCTGCAGTGCCTTTGACCTATGAAAATATTTTTGCAGTGGAAATAGCTCTGTTTTCCTGGCAACTCTAAGCAGTACCTCTACAGGCTGGTTCTGGTTGCTCTACACAGCTGAACACTCGCCTCTGTGAAAGTAAGCGGGCATAGATTTCTTTGTAGTACAGACATATGTAAGAATAAAACAAAAAAACCAGTGAAAAGGAAAGACACCTGTCACACTTCCCACACTTTCTGTATACTTGACAGTTATTATCTTATGAATGAGCACTAACACAGATGCAGCCCTAAAAACAAGATTACTGGTTGGCTTGTGCTCTTAAGCCCTACAGTAATAACAGGTACAGAAAACCCTAATTCAGCAAACTCCAGTGAATTGAAGATAATCCTCAAAATTATGAAAACTAGTATTTTGGTGGAAGAAACTGAAGACATAAAAATTTATGTACATTCTGAGAGAACAGAAGCTGGAGAGCTCAAGTAGTCAACTTTGGATGAAACTACAGATAATAATAACTTTACATTAAGAAATGCATATAGCCATTATTGAAGAACATCAATGGAGAAATATCATCATTCCAATTCATTTGTTAATAATTTCTCTTCGTTTACAGAAGGGAAATCTCCTTTTCTCTGTCCAAAAATCAAAGAAATGCAGTATTCCTCAAATTTATCCAGTTGTGAAACATCCTTCCCCTAATCTCAATTTCGTATTTAAGGCAAATGCATAGTCTGAGTCATACAGAAATCAATTTTGGCCTCAGCATGAATAAAAGTGAAACTGATTAATACCTATCTGTTTTGTGCATGAAGACTAAGAGCTTAGAGAATATCAATGGGTGCATAAACATACAGCAACCTACCATCAACTAAAATGTTAATAAACTTTATTTTATATGTAAAAACATACATTTATTTTTATACTTCCCTTTTCATTTAAAGTTCACTTAAACTATCACTGTACATGATGGCATAATGTAAGCAATTTAACATTCTCTCTTACATAAATCATTCTTGAAGCATTTATGTCAGTATTGGATAAAAAAAAGATACAATGCACGACTATCATAGTTATGCACAAAATTACATGAAAAAAAGCATCTTTCACTGGGTGGGTAACAGTTTTCCACAAAAGAGAAGGGGATAATTGCACGAGGTAGTCATCTCATGACAGTATTTCGAAGGCAACAGAAGACAAAGCCCTCCTCTTTACTTCTGCAGCTTCCATATTAAATCTTTCTTAATCCGCTCTGAAACCAGTCATACACAAAATTCTATCCTTGAATTCGTCTGTAATAGTGAAACAAATGGACTTCCACTTCTGCAAAGCTGATCACTCTGAAAAATCCTATTCAACATGGCTGAGTCCCTCTCTTTCCAGAAGTACTATGAGACTGTACCAGGCCCACAGTTTAGAGATCCAGCAGAGACCACTTGACAGCAGTTGGAAAAAAACCCTGGAGTTACATAGTTAACAGCAGTGCAAAATTAACAGTAACCTGCAGTTCAGGGATTTGAAAATTTTCTTTAGAAAAGAAAATGCTTCTACTGGGATGTTTTATACAAATTTTCATCCTATTAGTCTTTCATTGTATTGCCTCATTCGTGTTAGTTTTCTCTCCCTATATATGTAACATTTTAAGCTCTTCTACTTTAAAAATCCCTTCATTTGCCAGAATGTATACACAGATGTCTTCATTAAAGTGTTTTCCTTCCCTCTCTGCCAAAGGACAATATTTAGATTTGTTTCAAGGCAGAAGATCAACTCGTTTTTGATGCTTTGCTTTAGTTCAATTGCTCATAAACCACTCTAGTAATACCCAAGAACAGTTCTCAAGTTTCCAAGGCTTATCTTTTAAGAATACAAACATGTATTCAAACACTGATTACTTTCAGTACTTTTTAGCTTGCATAACGATAAATAAAGCTGCTTGTAAGCACTGATAAATAATAAATCCAGAACTTGTAACAGGAAAAGATCACAACAGACTTTTTCTAGTAATGATTCTAATAGTAAAACACTGAAAGTGTGAAACGATGTTGTGCTCAATCCTGTTTACCTTATTATATAAGAGATTAGCATCAGGAAAGGTCAGCAGAGGGCAACTGGCTAATTGAGGGAATTTGTTTTAACAAGTTAAAAAACTAAACATTTAGTCTTTGAAAGTGAAGAAAGTAAACATGACCTCAGTAAGTTCTACCAAAATTCTGAAGGGAACAGAAATGGAAGATAATAACAAGACCACTTGGTCTTTTTGTCAGTACAAGAACTTGTGGCATAAACTCAACCTATGTAAAGGTCAAGCCCTAAAGGAGTATCTTATATTGAGAGAACCATTAACTGAAGTAAGTTATGTGGATTTATTTGAGTGTCTGACTGATTTAAATAGATGCAGACACATTTATTTCCGATGTCCCTGGAATGCAGCATGGAAATACACATTCTTTAGTTAATGAAAACTGAGATGAGCTTTGGTAAAGCTTAAGAGGATTTCACTAAGTGACAAACCTGTCTTGGACTTACGAATGCTCCATGACTACATTTTCCTCTGAAGTTATCACCAACCATGTTATTAATCTTGGGTTTGAGTGCTTTCATTCTAATCTAGCACTCTGCATATTTTATTTTAAAGATCTTCATGCAGGAACAGCAGCTATTTTTGTGATGAGTAAGCAGGTATTCTTGTTTTTGACCTCCTAATTAAAAATACAATTCCTTGCTTCCCCTCCATTTTTAAAAAGTACTGAACAAATGTTTCAGAAAAATGCCCAAAATACTAAAGATTTGAAGGCAGGATTTTTCTTTAATGCAGAAACTGCTCCAATGCTTCCTAGTTATACTTCCAATGAAGCTTACCATCATGAAACCCGCTAAGCTCAACTAGAAGAGTTAGGCCATTCTGGAGTCCTTTGAAAAACTGCACATAGTATTTATTACTTGATCCTTAACCATGCATTGGTCAAATGACTTCTGGGATTGTAATGGTTAGGGCTGAACAAAGCATGGGTATGAATAGAAAAGAAAATATACTCTCTTCTACCTGCCGTGCTTTATGTGCTGTCTCAATGCCATGATTTCTTAGACAGCTTAAAGCCCTTGCATCTGGGGAGCGCCCCACGTTCCAGTCTGAAACAGCAGCACTGTCTGTCATCCACTGTAACAACAAAACAAATAAATACACATATTTAAAGAAAATTAAAGTACAGTACCTGCCTGGCAATATGATTCATGGTAATGCCATGCTTCTTCATGCAAGTCTGTCCTCGATAGTCAGGAGGGCTTCCTATTTCATAGGTAGATGTCGCTGCACTGTCTATCCTCCACTACAGAAAAACAAATTCATATTTTTATGTTTCCTTACTCACTGCTTATATTTCTAACTGGCTACAAGATAGTTATTTCTCAGACAGGAACAGAAATAAATAGCTTACCTTATTTTCAAGTTTTTCATCAGTTACAAGTTTTCTAAAAACTGCTTCAGCTATTGGAGAACGACAAATGTTTCCTACAGAGACAGGAGATTAAAGTGAAATTTCAGATGATTAAAACAAAAAAATCAGTAACTCTGTGGATTTGTCAGCACAGATCAGATTAAGGATTTTTATTTACTTAGGTAGAATGTGGTTTGCTTATATTATTATAACCCATGAGATTCTGCGAGGGTGGAAGCCCACAGTCCTGGGCCAGGGCAATCTCCAGTATCCATGCAGGCTGGGGGACGAATGGACTGGAGATCAGCCCTGCAGAGACGGACTTGGGGATACTAGTGGGTGAAAAACTGGACATGAGCCAGTAATGTGTTCTTGTTGCCCAGAAACCCAACCAATATATAAAGGGGGCCGTAGTCACAGGGCATGGGTTTACGGTTTTAAACTGAAAGAGGACATGAGATTTTTTTTTTTTTTTTACAAGGGTGGTGAGACACCAGAACAAGTTGCCTAAAGAAGCTGTGGATGACTCATCATTGGAAGTGTTCAAGATCAGGCTGGATTTCAGCATCTAGTGAAAGATGTCTCTGCCCATGGCATGGGGGTTGGACTAGATCTTTGAAGGTCTTCTTCCACCCAAACCATTCTATGATTCTATACCATCTATCACTCTCTTGAAATGCATATTATTATTATAATATGCAAAGATGTAACTTGTTAAAATAAACAGGAGGACCATCATGTAGGCACACTGCTCTTTTCTTCTCCACAAAGAAACTGTGATCACAACCAGGCAAAATTATATAATTTAAATGGCAGCAAATAATCTTTATCTTCAAATCTTCCTACACACTGGCAAATTTCAACTCATTCTTTGCTGCAGAATCATGAATATTTGCCTGAAGTATTTACTATAGTACCTACCTGTTAACAAAAACTTTTGGACAATTTCAAAACACAGCCACCACCACTGTGGAACCAGGGTAGTGAAATGGCTGAACAGCCTGTAGAAGAAATGCTCCTGACCACTGAAATGAAGTCACAGCAGGTCAAAATGAACCCTCATCAAGAGCAGCTTCCAGATACCAATTGGTATCCAGAGACCATCACATCACTAAATGGGCAAAAGAACTGGATAACCATTGAGAAACTGATCTGACCAAAACATCAAGTGAATCCGGATGGCAGTAGATCTTCTTCCAGGAGAAAGCATACTATTGTCTTTGTTTGAACTGGTTTATTCCAAGCAGAAAAACTAAATCAGTCTTGGAAGAAAAATAAAGCAAGGAAAAGTTGGTTGTATTTATAAAGTAACTGAGGAAACAGGTTAGTACTTATTAATTATAGAAATGTTAAAGAATATAGTAAGAAAATAAAAAATAAATCTCACTTCATTTGATGCTTAACTTGCTTACTTAATGTAATTTTAATAGGAACCAGAGGGAACATGGTAACATACAGCATAAGACAGAAAAGAGCCTTCATAATCAAGCAGCCAAATCCTTTGATATTGCAGGCATAGACAGCATCACTTACAAACACATCAAGTTCTCTTTTAAAAAGCATCATGTATCTTAACAGGCTATCCCAAAAATTCCTTTCCTGTGCTAGCCAGAAACCTTCCAATTCCCACTTAATAATCATTCTTGGAAGTCTATGCTCATCTGATCTTAGTTAACATCCCTGTGATGGGTTGACCCTTGAATCCTTCTTGTTGCTCACCAAAGCCCCTCTGTCATTCTCCTCCTCAACTAGACAGGGCAGAGAAAATATAACAAAAGGCTCATGGGTCAAGATAAGGACATGGAGAGGTCACTCACCAATTACCATCACGTGCAAAACAGACTCAACTTGGGGAAAATTAATTTAATTTATACCGATCAAATTAGAGCAGCATACTGAGAAAAAAACCCCTAAGCCTTAAAACACCTTTTCCCTACCACTCCCCTCTTCCCGGACTCTACTTCACTCCCTGTTTCTCTATCTCCTCCCCACAAGCAGTGAAGCAAGACAAATGGGGGTCACAGGCTACTCCTTCCTCCTCAGGGGAAGAACTCCCCACACTTTCACTACTTGAAATAAATGCAGTAAATATCTTTGATGATACCACATCAGATATCATCATGAATGGCACCAGGAATGGCACTGACTGATTAAATATGTTAACTATCACTTCTAGCAATAACTAGAAACTGCAGCTTGAAGCAAACACATAGTTTGTGACTTAAAAATTAATGTCTTCCACAATGACACATTCCAGATATTACCGGAGGTATTAACACTATTACAGAATTGCAATCACCATTCAAATCTATTCTTGGGGACTATGAACAGAATCCCAGAACTGACTTAATAGAAGCTCTTTTCTCCACATGCTTTTCAATATTATTTTCATCCTAATCAACGTTTGCCTGTGCTACTCCTTGTGCCAGTTATCATTCGTCTCATCATTAATGTAAAGCCCTATCTTATCTCACTGACAAATGCAAACTTCAATCCTTGTTTTCCAGTCATTGCCCCTTTCTCACTGTAATTTCTATCAATATCCAGTTTTGTATGTCCTATCTGTCTTTCCAGGCTTTGCTGAGATTCCTCAGAGATGCACAGTATGTCCTACATTATGGATTGACAGCCATAATTTGGGAATAAAGGGGGAAATCTCACAAAAATATTCATAGGGGGATTACCTTCTTCTTTGGACTTGAACTATTATTTCCCTTAAATGTTATCTACACCTTATCTTTGCAACCTATCCTCCTATGATGTTCCTTTCGCCTTTGCTGCATTTCTGACTGAATTGATCATGCTCTTTTTATGTAGAAGATAACAGTATTAAAGTTCTCTGAATCTCTGACTTCTCCCTTAATTTTTTAAATTTCAAGCACTTTAAACTGTAGTTGTAAAATTTTCAATCACAGAAAACTAGTACCCAAGGTACCCAGACAGAGTCTGCCCCTTGAACGAAATCCTACAAACACTGCCAAACGTGATGACTCAATGATAAGACTTAAATTTCAATCACAAAATCAGTACTGGAACTGTCAATCACTTTTACAGTCATGCTTTCTCATTCACCTTCTAGGAACAGGGACTTCACTGACAGCTATCCAAGCCAATGCTTAAACTTTTGAGTTCTTACTCCAGTTTCTGCTTTAATCTTTGACGCATTCCCATACAGAAATGGAAGCACTGCTTCTCTACTGACAGGAAAGACAACTTGAACCCATTTCATTCTTAGGTCCATAGCTCATCTCCAGGTACTGTTGATCTCATAATCTATTTGGTCATATTTTTTTTCCTTATTCAGCTCACTCACTCTTTCAGACCTTCCCCAAATACAAAGAGATGCTTTTCTCTTCCTCATTTGTTCTTCTGCCTGTTACTTTGTAACAAAAGTTTTACTAGTTTTTATCCTCTCATATTGAAAAACCTACTTTTAACTCTACTTAGCTTTCCATGCATAGTCAGTTCATCTAAGTGACTGTAATACTGCTTCCCTGTTAGCATTTGGATCATCCATCGGGTCCCCTTCATAAGGAAGTGTTTAAAAATTACTACTTTGGTCTATTCTGTTCTGTACTCTTCTTCAGGACGTCATCACGACTCCTAGATCTTTCCAGTCTATCTTGTCACAAGCAGCATTCAATCATTTCAATTCAACCTTTGTAAGGAACCATTCAAGGCTCTGATTTTAGTCCAGACTCCCTGGTCTTCCCAGTCACAGTCGATTTCATTGAATATTTACACACTATCTGAAACACTTAAGTATACAGCTACCTAAATGACATGATCTAACTTCCACACATCCCCCACTACCAACACACAGTCGTATTTTTATCAGAAGTTGACTATTAGCATTGTGTGTGTGTGTGTGTGTGTATCTAAGCCAAACTCTATTTTGGCTCAAGAGAACTAAACAGAGATGTCTACAGAAGCACTAGATTTCAAAGCCCCTGCTAGTCAAAGTTTACTTGATTTAATCAATGTCTAGCAATATGACTCACCAGAATTCATGGTAGTCAAACCATCAGCTAATTAGCTGAATGTGCACATTTTTAAAATCTTACCCTGCAGGGAGATTAATTATACTGAGTTACCAATTACCACACCATTATATTTTTCTCAGCAATCTAAAGGTTCCCTAGTAAAAATAAAAGTTTTCAACACGTAAGCATTTACTTGCAACACACTCCTAACATTTTCAAAGCATACATATTAATCTTAATTACAATTCTAAGATCACTTTTACAACCATACTTTCAACGCTCTAGTATTTCTGCATCATTCTGAAACATAAATTAAATAGGGCATTGTATTCTTACAGCTGTCTTATCAATGCTGCACAGAAACAAGGTCTTTTCCTTACATTTATCTGTCTTCTTTATCCAAAAAATGGCTTCAGTTCTTTCTGTCAGCTTGCTAAGAACCCTCATTACAGCCGTTGTTTTCCATGACTTCTTCAATGTCTTATCCAAGCTACTGCTTTCCCATTCTGCAGCTACAAATGGCATTTTGTCCCATTAAGCTATTTGGCTCTATCTAAACACATATAACGGACTGTGACAACCGAACTACGAAACTCAAATCTCTAACTGCAACATAACTTTCTCATGCCCAATACATTAATTGTAATTTTAGAAATTATTTTATGCAGTCTAGATCTCTGATGGCAATACTCGTACTCAGTGGTTCACAACAAGCATCAATTTTCTGAGGACCCAGCCAAAACCACTTTGCTTACTGTTCACTTGTCTTACAACTGTTCCTCTATACATGGAAAAGATCAGCAAGCCAGTGCCTGGTCTAAGATGCCCATGCAGCTTGTTATGTTACAGCGGACAAGTCATCAGAGAGAAAGTGGCTGACTTATGTAACACAGTATTGTATTAAACTCATTTCTGGAGCTCAATCATTAATTGGATGAGCTACACAAGTGTAAAAAGAGCAACCTGCATTTTAGTTCACCGCCTGTGTTAATTATTTCTTTGCCTTAAAAAAAAATTCTTATGAGGTGCCTTTTCTTATACTGTAACTATATACACTCTTGGATGCTTTGTTTATTTCTCAGTGATAAGGAACCT